GGGGGGGAAGAGGGGAGAGGGGGAAGAAACCAAACTGGCTTTTTAAAGAAATTAAGAAAAATCATGATTGCCATCAAGCTGCCAAACCCACAAGGATTCGGGGCTCACAGTGACGATGGAATGACACGAACCAGAAGCATTGGGAGGCTTGCTCGGTCATTTCTTGGTATCAAAGGGAGCCCAAGCAGCTTCACAACTACAAGGACCAATTTTCCCCCCCAAAAGCTGTGCTAAAATGTGGGTTCCCACCTAAAAAAAAGCAGCCCCTGAGTCAAAACCCCCTGACTCGCAGATGGGCCAGCTCCAGTGTGGAGTTAATGGACCCCAGCTGCTCCCCAGCAGAGCACAGGTCCCTGTTGAATGGATTTTTTTGTCCCCAGGGATCCCAACCTCAAGCTCTCCCGGGTTTTACACTTACACCCGGCCACACCATAACCTCCAGGCTGGGAGGACACAGGCCAGGAATCTCACCTGCCCCGACTGGTTTCCTGGGCCATTTTCTCCTCCCTGCTCGCCCAGCAGCTTATCGAGCTGGGCAATCTCCTCGGAGAGCCGGGAGACGCTCTCATCTCTCCTCTTGACGATGTCTCTGTCTAGCTCCTCCAGACGGGACAGCAGGAGCTGCTCCTTCTCTTCCAGGAAGCCCCGGAGCTCCTTGCACTCGGCCACAATCTTCTGCCTCTCCACTTCTGTCTGCTTCTGCAAAACCCAGAAGGGAGAACACCCACGTGAGACCGAAATCCCCGCGGCCAGGGGCGGTTCGAGGAAACTCCCACCCCCAGGCACTCACCAGCAAATCTTCGCTCTGCCTCTCCCTCTCAGCCTTGGCTTCTTCACGCCCTTTCCTCAGGGAGCTCAAATGCTCCTGTGGCACCTCCTGGAAGGAGAAAGAGGAGATCTGTTGGGAATCCTTCCTATTTGGGGTCAGGAATATGGAGGAAAGGGATGGTGGGATATTTCCTCCAAACTTCATCAACTGGTTTTATTTTTTGAGCTGGAGAACACCACGAAGCCAAAAACAGGTAAGGCCATCACCACCCCCTGTTTTCCCCTGCCCCGTTATCCTCAGCCCTTAGTTCTAGGCAAGGCAAGAAAGCCCAAAGCTTCCCCCAACCAGCCCAAAAA